TCGTCCAGGTCATCAAGACCAGTTGCACATCTGTGCATAGCTCTCACTCTCCCTCTGACTCCCTACTTCACCTTTCACCTGTGGGCTTTGAATCTCTTCCCTCCAGGCAGTGACATCAAAGGCCTCCCAGCATGTCCAGGCATGTCCCTTCCCAGCTTCATCTGAAGGGGCAGCACATTATATACTTAAAGCTGAGCATCCAGTGTGCCGCCTCAAGCTGCATCACCTTGGGCAACTTCCCTAAGTTTTGTGCCTCGGTTTCCCCCTCTGTCAAATGAGGATGTCAGAACGATCCATTGCACCGGGTGGTGTGAGATTTAGAGAATACCCTGGACTGTGCTGCCTGCGTGGCTTGAGGGGCCACATCAGATGCTTAGTAGAGTATGTCATGGACTGGGAAGGAGAGCTCCACAGGGCTTACCCCACTGTTGCTCTGCCTCTCCCATAAGGAGTAGATGGCTGGCATCTACGAGGACTGGCCCAACTCATTCTCAGCACTAGAAGCCATGGTCTGCACAGCTCATAGCCCTAATTGTCCTTTCTTTTTTCTTGAGGCTTCCCTGTCAGGCACTTGTCGTGCCCCAGATGGTCAAGAAACCCACTTTCTTGCTACTGCTTCCGTCCTAGGTCCTCAGCCTCTGGGAAAGTATGGCACATTCTCAGCAGCAGTGTGTCAGGCTCTCTGGCTTAACACACGAGACAACCACCTGACCCAGCAAGGGCGTGGTGTGCCAGTGTAGGTCTGAGTGCATAGGCACAGGAACACCAGTGTTAACACTTCCAGTCTTTTTTACCTGTATTCTCAGTCCCTACCTTCTTTTTACCTACTGTACATAGTTTTCTGGATTCTTCTTTTGAAGGCAAAGATGGGGCTAATTAGGGTCTGCCCATCTGGACTGTGGAAGAATAGCAATAGCTCTCTCTCCTCGGGTCCTTGTAAGTGCGCTCCACTGCTGTTCTGGCTCCTTCCAAGCTATATAGAGTGCCAAGCTGTTTTGGGGCTTGTCTTGGGAATCCTTGGAGTAAACGCTCAGGGCAGACCAGGGCTGAATTTCCCGTATGTTTGTGCTCCAGGAAGGCACTCAGTAGCAGCTTGGCTAAACTTGACCCGTCACTGTAAAGCTCTGGCTCTTAGGTGTGGACCTGGAGGTGACTGAGGGTCTGGGGAACCTGGCTAGAGCTGCCAGCATGGCAGGGTCCTGCTGTAGCAGCCTTTGTTGTTTTGAATTTCAGTAAGTAGTAGAGATGAAATAGTATGTGATTCGATTTCCAACTTTGCTTGAGTTTCTGCTTGTTCTCTGAGACAAAATAGGGCCCTTGCATTTGGGACACCTGCTTGCTAGTGTCCTTACACAGCTGTTTCACCCTACTGTGTAATGACAGGAAGGAGAGCACATTTCTCCTTGTCTGTGGAAGCTCAGGCTCGATTTGCCTGTTAGGGGTATGGCTCTCTGGAAGAAGATAAAGTGAGCTGTCTATTCCTTGGGGCCCACGCTGGCCATTGCCTTTTTGGGTACCAATATTTGATTTTCCGTATTTGGACAGTAACCCTGGCAAGACTTTCAGCTGTTAGGCGCCACCGCCTGCCCCTGCCCCACCCTGCCCTGTCTCCACTTGCCATCATGTGATTCTAGAGCTGGTAGCCCTCCTTCTGGTGTCCATGCCAACTCCTCTTAGGTAACGGAGACAGCATCTTCAACCAAGAGACTCCTTGGCAACAGCACCTTGTCTGTATTAGTGATTGCTGACGTTCAGTCTATTGTCATGCATCTGATTTGTCACTGAATAAATGTTACTGAGCCACCACTCATCAGGCCTTTGCTAGAAGCTGAGGATATGGTGATAAACTTGACAACAATTGACATGCCACTCTTAGCATGGAAGCAGACTGGTTAGCCCGACAAATGCCACAGGGACCAGGCCCCAGCAACACTTCAGTTTGCTGGGTTTCAAGCTGTCATGACGCCTTACCAGTCTGGTCCACCAAGCTAGCCACACCGCTTCATGGGCCCTTGGTGTGGGTCTGCACCCTGTGGGGACTCCAGGAGCTTGTAGCTACAGTTCTTCCCCCTGGAGGGACTGAGCATCCAGTTGAACAGAGCACATCCTATGAAGGAAGTTCAGCCATAGGAGAGGCCAAGAAAGCTGACTCTCCACAGACTTCGAAGCAACACAAGTATATAGGGGGGCTTTTGGAAGCAGAAGGATGAGGGAAGTGATAACTGTGGTCAGCTACTGGTCCTACCCAGCTGTCAGCAAGGCAGAAAGGCCAGGGTTCTTGTGTCCAGGCTGCTAGCCAAGTGCAGGTCCATGGGATGGAGAGGTAGCTGAAGATGTAGCTCTGTAACTCAGAGCTGCTGTCATAAACAGCTCATAGCTTTAACAAATGTGTGTCCCCAGAATGTGGCCAGCTACTGTCTATTGGACCTCTGTGCAAACGCTCAAGCAATCTTTGGACTCCGTTCTAATGACAGAAAGCTTTGTTCCCCTTTGAGACTCAGCTATTTAATGTCACTTGGAGAGTCTTCCAGCAGTTTCTACTTTAACGAAAACTGTTAGATCATTCCACTCTTAGAAGGAATTTATCCGCAGCCTATTATTTTTTCCCAGGAGCAGCAATTAGACATATTACTCAAATAACCACTGTTTCAAAAATTTTGACTTTGTTGCTATTCTCCAGTGAATACAAGCCAAGATAGATGTTGTGTGTGTTTTTTTTCCCTTTATTTCCAGGAAAGCCAATTTTTTCAGTTGATATTCACCCTGACGGGACCAAGTTCGCAACTGGAGGACAAGGTACGTTCACAGAGTAACAGAAGGAGCATGCACGGTCCTGACACCTTGCTCTGCTTCTCCTGGTTGCCCACTGAGCTGAAGATAGAATACTTTCTTTTTTCAGTATGGATATGACTCCATTTAAAATGTACAATTATAATCTGTTATCTCAAAACCCTTTTTTTTTTTTTTTTTTTTTTTTCTCTAGTGTGCTTGCTCCATATAAATATTTCAGTAGTGGGTGTATCTTTCTAATTCCTATTCATTGGGTTAATATTCAAATCATTTTACATCCCCAAATCCCAGCTTATTGAAGGTGGCAAGTGGCAGGTGGTCCCATGGATAGATCCCCAGCCCTTGAGGCCAAGGTTGGGTCCTCATCTTCGTTCTGGCAGTACTTTCTCATCTGAAAAAGGGGAAGAAGTGGTTAAACTAAAACTACAGAGTTAGTCATGTAGTTATGAGGCCTTTCCTGGGCTCAGAGGAATTCAGCTAAGTTAGAGAAGAAGTATGCTGTGGGCAAGTAAAAACGCCTGCGCCATTTGAAAATACGGCCCATAATAGTATTAGCATGCTTCATCGGTGTTACAGTGTCACAGAAACAGTGCTGCTTGGAAAGATAGTCATTTTCACGCCAGGACACCAAGATGTGTATATGGTGGAACAAGGAGGCATTCCCACAGATCTCAGCCCCCGACAGCTTCACTATAGAGCAGCGTCTTCCTCTGGCCAAGGCCTTCCTGGACAGCACCTGAAGAGTGCCCCTGTGAGTTCCAGGCCCTTGGGCCAGGTGCTACAGGGTGGGTTGCCTATGAGCTTCCTGCTGCAAGGGTATGCAGGGGACCCTTGATCTCCTTCCAGCACATTACGGACTGCACCTGGAAGGTACCCACTGACATCATCTATGACTACTGCACTAAGCTGGGGGACAGGGTTTTTTTCCTCATCCATAAAAAGAGACATACCTTCCCACCCTTCTCAGTATGTAGTATGGTCAAGAAGAGCTGTTTAGGAAATATTTTTATATACTGGCCAATAGGCAGTTTCAGGTATGCCTTATGATAATTCTGACATGTCCATTTGTAGGCATTTATTGGTGTTTCTTCCTCTGTAATAGTTAAATGAGGGGCCAGACTTTCATCAGTTATCAGTAAGTGAGAAGCTTAGAAAGAAAAATCATTGCAAAAGAAAAGAAAAGATCATTGCCAAAATGCATAGATAATTTTTTTAATTTTTTTTTAAAGATTTCTATTTTATTTATTTGACAAACAGAGATCACAAGTAGGCAGAAAGGCAGGCAGAGAGAGAGGAAAGGAAGCAGGCTCCCTGCCGAGCAGAGCGCCTGATGTGGGGCTCGATCCCAGGACCCTGGGATCATGACCTGAGCCAAAGGCAGAGGCTTTAACCCATTGAACCACCCAGGCACCCCCATAGATAAATTTTTTAGCTGGGTTTTATATCACCTTATGATCCAGGATCCCTAAATGCCCTCTTTTGGTTGCTCTCCCATCTATAGGTGACAGCAAAGGGCAGATAAGAAGATAATGAGCCTTTTTTCCTGTATACAGGGCACATTTCATTGAGACGTGGGTCTCAAAGCATCCAGTCAGCTCTGGGGGCTGCCCTTGACTCCAGGCAGCACCTGAAAAGGGATCAAAGTACTGGCAGGAATGTGCTGTTGCCCTTGGTTGCTAGGGTTCCCATGCACAAACCTGAAAGGGTCCTGGGACATCAGTTTTTCCAGTCTTCAACTTACAGATGAGGAGTCTGGTTTGTGGGCAGGGATGAGGACCTTCTAGGGGCTCCTGAGGGATCTGTTGTAGAGGACAGACTAGAGCTCAGTCCTCTCCTGATTTCTAGTCCAGAGTTCTTTTCAAAGTCAGGTTGGCTTCCCCCTACTACTAAATCCATATGCTTTTTGACCCCCTTCAGCACTTAATCTTTCTTCATTTCTTTTCTGTAACTTAAATTAATGATGCAAATTTAGTCTCCTCCAGTCTAGTCCATTATGATTTATGAAAGCTAAGTGAAGACTGTGTCTCAGAGTTAATATCAAATTTCTACTTCTTGCACATTGAATTTTTTCTGATCCTTCATTCCAGGACAGGATTCTGGGAAGGTTGTGATCTGGAATATGTCTCCAGTCCTCCAGGAGGATGACGAGAAGGATGAAAATATTCCCAAGATGCTTTGCCAGATGGACAATCACTTAGGTATTACAGAGTGGCCCTTTGCAGGCTTTGCGTGTTGGCAGAGTGCCCAAGGTTAGCACATGTGTTTGTAATTAGAAAGATAAGGCCCCGTGCGGCGGTAACTCCCCTCGGCCTGCTGTCTGAAGGCACAGATGTTGGCTGCACACCTGGGTGAGTTATTCAGCAGAAGACTCGGCCCGCCCACAGAACCATCTTTGGACAGTCTGCAGGTACCTCTGGTGATTTCCTGCTCATGAGTCGTTACTGCCTGATTCCATGGGGCTTTGGGGCCAGTGACCTGGAAGCAGTAGGGTTCTGGGGAAGGGTGTATTAAAGACAACTCACCAAAATGTCTCAGATTGCCACAGTGTCACTCTGAGGCCCTCTGCCAGGATCCTTTTGATGGTCGGACAGTGTTGTGGTTTCCTTTCCTATATTTAGTGCCTTAGTTTCCTGCTTCTGAGCATCAGGGTGACTGTATCTGGCTCTGGTTTCCAACCTAGCTGCCTTCCCTGAGATGCTCCATTAACAGCTATGTCCCCTTCCTTAGCTCTGTGTGTTCTTGCTCTCCCAACGTGCCTCAGTGCCCTCTGACTTGGAGCACAAGTCACTCGCAGGCCATGTGTGGGCTACAACTTGGATAGTGTCCCTTGTATTGCAGGGTTCCCAAAGGCCGAGCTGTGAGTGCTCCCAGACGCTCTCACCCATCGGGGCCTAGGAGGCATTTCTGCTGGTCTTAATTTATAAGTGCAGAACCAGTCAACCTGTAGTTCTGACAAGTTTGGAAAATCCAAATTTAAAAAGGCCACAGATAGGATGAAGTCAGAGTTTTATGCTCTAACAAGCTGCTCCCCTGAAAGTTTTGTGAAGGGCATCTCAGCCTTTTTAGTACATGCCCTCATTTCAGGACTTCTCCCTGCTCAGGAACACATCTCATCATGAGATAGCCCTTTTGAAATAGAGATTTAGTTACAAGTTTTCATGGAAATCCACCTCCTGTTGATTGTTTCATCCAGCACTAACACTTCTCAGGTTATGTAGACTTCCCCTCGCCAAACTCTGTCCTGATCATTTGTTATTACAGTACAGGTAGGATAGTATTTAATCTGGATTGTTCTTCTGGGACTCACCCACAGTGGATGCCTTGAATAGTTGAGAGAGAATAGGTTTTATAAACCCTTTGCATCTTGCTAGACTCTGCATAAAGCAAATGGGCATGACTATTGGATTTTCATCACCCTATTTTTTTTTCTTCCCAGCATGTGTGAACTGTGTGCGGTGGTCAAACAGTGGGATGTATTTAGCTTCTGGGGGAGATGACAAACTGATTATGGTGTGGAAGCGGGCTACGTAAGCATCATTTTCCTTTCTTCACATTTTATTTTTAGAAGCTTCTTTGCTGGTCTTAATCACAGTCACCTTTCCCCATTCTGGCACTGAAGTCCCTAGAACTCCAAACTTCCTGAGTAGCAGGAAGCACACATAGGCCTGGAGCCACTGGGGCCTGACTAGGGCTTTGAGAAGCCACCCACCTGCCTGGAGACCTACTCAGTCGCCCCCTCCCAGGGCTGCAGCATGTCCATCTGAAAAGAATATTAATCCTTTCCATTGCTGACCTTGGTAACTTTGTTTTGCTCTTCAAATGAAATTTTCCAACATACAGAATAGGTTAAAGTCAAAGTGCTCTGATGGAATGTGGGGTTGGTATCTGGAGCCTGCCCTCTTTGCCACTCACCTCATTCTCTGTCAGCCCTACCCTGGGACTCTAAGGAGTCCCCTTTGAAAGTGCCTGCTCTGTACCCATAATGAACTAACCATCACGTAGAAAACTTTTTCTTTAAACCTAGGCAGAGTGTCTCGGGGTGGGTCCTGGGAGTCTGTTCCATAACCAGCTCCCCAGGTGATTCTGGGAGCTAGTCAGACTAGGGAACCAGACCCTACCCCGCTGCTTAGCCAGAGTGGCCCTTTGGCCGTGGCCATGAGAGCAAAGGCGTGCTATCTCCTTTGGCCCACTCAGTGAGCTCCTTCTGTGAGTTGGTAAAGAGTTGTGGGAGCAGAGTGTGTTAACAGAGGCTCTATCAGTGGTGTCAGCACCACCTCCATGGGGACCTACCCGACTGCTTGCATGGCAAGCAGTTAGTACCCGGGCTTTGACTGCTTTGCAAGAGAGCTTTAAAAAGACTGTTGGCTTTGCTGCTTTAGTCAATATAAATAACGAATTTAGTAGATAATTTGGGAATCTGAAAAAGTATGTGAAAATCACCATCCAAAAAAGCCATGATTAATATTTTGGTATTTTTCATGTGTGTCTTTCTGATCCATTTTCCATGCATAGATGATACCGATATTACATGTATTTTTTTTTCTTTACATAGTGATATCTTCATATTGTATAGGATGTCCTGTGGCCTGCTTTTTTCATTTAATTATATTTGGTGAACATTTCCCCATACAGTGGATAGTCTCTTACCACAAGATTTGTGATGGCTATTTAGTATTTCATTAAGTGCATGGAACATAACTTACCTAATCAGTCCCTTTTGTTCAACAATTTGATGCTTTCTAGCCATTGTCTGGTTTGCTTTGTTCTGTCTGCCATGATAAGCCATGCTGCAGTGACATCTCTGTGCCGTGCCTCGAGTATGCTTGGAGTGCCTTTCTGACTCCTCTTTCACACAGGTACATCGGCCCCAGCACCGTGTTCGGCTCCAGTGGTAAGCTTGCCAATGTGGAGCAGTGGCGATGTGTCTCTATCCTCCGGAGTCACTCAGGCGGTGAGTGGGGCTGCCTTTTGGGATGGGCAGCCCTGGCAGCTGTCTGCAGTCAGCAGCAGCACCTCCATGGCCTGGTGGACTGTTTTGGTCCTTATAGCAACCTTGCGTCTGGGCCATCCCTCTCCATCACCATCGGTCACACCCTGCCTGTCCCTCAAGATCTGTGCAGTCACTGTCCCCACTGCCTGCCTCCAGCTGCATTCAGTGCCCCCACTCCTGCCCTCATTGGGTATATGTTTATATCTTCAATGTAGAACTCCCCACGTTCTGCCGTTTGTCCTGGTGAACTGAATCACTACCTTCATCAGTGGATCACTAAGTCTGTAAGCACACTTTATTTATTCCACAGAAACCAGCACACATGAAAAGGGGCCCGATGAAAAGTTTTTTACCTGACCTTGAGTATATTTGAAAAGTGTTTAATGGACTTGAAATGGAAAGGGACACATTTTACAAATTTGAACTGAAGAAGAGGAATGTCATTAAGAGTAGTTAAAAGCCATGTGTTGTACATTCAGATGCCAGGGTGCTAGAGTTACTATACCTTGGAAAGCCTGTCGTCTAGCCCAAGAATGGCCTGAAGCATTTCCCAGACAGAGCAGAAGCCAGAAAGGCCTGATGCACATGGTGGGTCAGCAGCATTTCACCACAGCTGGATCTTTACATACAAGGCAGGGAATAGTACAGAGTGGAGCTGGCTAAGTGTCAGGGGCCAGGTCATAGAAGGTTTGTGTTCCCTGTTAATGAAGGTGGCCTTTATTGTGGAAGAGATAGGGAGCCTTTAAAAGATTTGAGGTGTAAGAGGGAGATCATTCTGATAGGTATGTAGAAAAGGAGATTGTTTCAGTGGTTCAGATGAAAACTGTAAGGGCCTGAACCAGGCCTGGGATAATTGGGATGGAGAGGGAGACTGACTTGAGAAATTCTTAGGACAAAGCAGGGGAGGGATGAAGGAGATTCCTAGCTGGTGCCTGCATAGCCGGTGGTGTCCTCTCTCAGACCATATCGATAGTGGGCTTATGAGGATGGATACCAATTCAGTGTGGGATGTACTGAGTCTGGGGAGTGGGGGCAGGGAAGAATGTCACAAGATTTGGAATTGAGCCTGGAGCTCTGGGAGAAGATGGGGCAAGAGTGAGTGGTTTGGAAGGCATCAGCCGTAATCCACTGACAGTTTATGCTCTGCAAATACTCTACACACACTTTAAAGGTAAACAGACCCACCTCTTAGTGACCATAGATTAATTCCACATTTTTGAAAGCTGGCAGAGTAGTATTGTATACTTGTTGATAACCATAAAAATTTGTAACTTAACCTTGCTTACTCACAGTTACTCAAAGCAGAGTCTAATTGGACTCCTCTGGAACTTGGAGAAAGTGTCCATGCAGGTGTTCAAGTGTGGGGTGGGGCCTCAGTGAGGCCTTTGTTGGGTTCCCTACCCTGAGACTTGGGGCTGAACCATAACTTCAACTTTTCTCCATACCCACCATCCCACGGTTCTCCTTTACAGGAAGTAGGGTTGCCCACTTTCAGCAGGGACACCCATTTCTTGTTCAGTGGTCCTGATAGCAGTTATGGGCAGAACTCTTAAAGAAGAAAAATCAGTGAAAACGCAAAAATAAATAAATAAATAGAAAGCACTTGGTCTTTGAAAGCAGAGTGTGAAAAACATATACTTTGGCATATTTAATTGGGGAGTGAGGGTTGGAAGAAAAAAACCTAGAAGAAATTAGAGGTAATGGGGCTAGAAAAACGTTTAACCTAGAGGAAAATGTTACCACAGAGTACAACATAATATTTATTAAACTAAAAAAAAAATGCTAAGAGAAGTAAAATTTTCTAGAAGATACAAATTTTCAGAATTGATACCGTAAGGTTCGGAAAACTTAAAGTAGTAACCAATGAAAAAATTGGAGTCCTCATAAATGCTTCCTGATCCTAATTTATTTTTTGATTTGTTGATGCAGGGTTTTTTTCAAGTTTTTAAGAAAAATTATTCCAGGTTGTAGAAATATTTATTCTTTTTTTTTTTTAAGAATTTTTTAGGTACTTTATTCTTCTTAAGATTTTATTTATTTATTTGTTGGGGGGAGAGAGAGACAGAGAGCGAGAAAGCACAAGCAGGAGGAGTGGGAAGCAGAGGGAAATACAGGCTCCCTGATGCAGGAAGCCTGATGTGGCACTTGATCCCAGGACCCTGAGATCATGACCTGAGTTGAAGGCAGACCCCTAACAACCGAGTCACTCAGGCGCCCCTAGAAATATTTATTCTTCAAAGGAAGCTGTCACCCTGGGTTCCAAAAACCTAAAAAAAAAATAGTAAAACAAAAGCTTAGACGAATGTGAAAAAAGAAAAACCAGAAACATAATGCTTGTGAATTTGATAACTTTTGAAAACACTAATTCATTTTGACGAAGTATATTTATAATGGAAGAATTTTGTGTATTACTATAACAACATACTAGGAGGTTAAATGAGAAAAGACTCTTGGAGCGCCTGGTTGGCTCAGTTGGTAGAGCATATGACTCAGTCTCAGGGTCCTGAGTTCAAGCCCCAAGTTGAACATGGAGCCTACTTTAAGAAACAAAAACAAAAACAGTCATCTAAGGAGGTTTTCTGAAAGGGATATTAGATAATTTAGCATCAATTTGTAATAAAAATATTTTTTAAATAGCCATAGGAAGCTATTTCCTTAATATGAAATGTCTTTTTCAAACCAATGGCAAATATTGTAGCACGCAGCTATTAGAACTTAAAAAGCGTTGAAAAGCACCTAGAGCTAATAATGAGTCATTGAGTTGGTCTCATATAAGAAAACTTTAAATTATTTACCTTTCGCTAGTAATAGCCATTAGAATATCTAATGATACAAAGAGAACTCTTATACAGCAGGAAGAAAAATTGTAAATATTCAGGAATACTTTTACCAAGAAATGTGTGAGATCTGTAAGTCTTAAAACACAAACCTTTTTTGAGAGAGCTAAAATGGCCACTTCATAAGTGGAAAGATCGAAAAAAATACACTATTTTTTTCCCCAAATTCATTTAACAAATATTTATTGAGCACCTGCCATGTTCTGGGTGCTGTTCTACCCTCGGGAAGTTTACATTCTTATAGGAGAGACAGACAACTAGTCACATCAGCAACTAGAAGATAAGTGCCGAGAAGCAAAATGAGATGGGTTTTCCAGGAGGCCTCACTGAGAAGGTGACATCCAACAGGAGACCAGGTGGAGGTGAGGGGACCACTGAGTACACATCCAAAGAGCCTTCCAGGCTAAAGGAATAGCTAGGACACGGCCACTGTGAGGGGCTCTTCTCTGAGTGAGATGGGAAGACTAAGTAGGATTTTGAGTAGAGGAGTGAGGAGGCCTGTGGCAGCTGCATGGACTACAGGCAGCACTGGAGAGATCACTGAGGAGGCTGTTGGCGTAATCTCAGTGGACCTGGGTCATAGCAGTGGAGGTCAAGAGGAGCGATGGTCAGATGGAGAGTTCCTGGTGGATGGGATATGGGGTGTGAGATAAGCAAAGGAAATCAGGACAGTGTACCAGACTGTGGTCTGGAGGGTGTCAAGAATGCAGTTGCCATTACCTGATGGCAGGTGTATAGGTGGGACAGACATATTTGCTGAGGGAAATGTTTAAGAATTGGCTTTGGGGCATGTTCAGTTTGCATTGCCTAGCAGGGGTGTAATTAGCCCTGCTGCATAGGCATTTTGATATGTGAGAGTTGAGTATAGGGGACAAGTGTATGTGGGACTAGAGGCCAAGGGTGGAGGCTGGGGTGATGGGGTGATTTGGAGGTGATAAGGAACCAGTCAGTGAAAAGTGGCTGAGATGGAGAGGAGACCAATTAAGATAGAGCGTTTGAAGGAGAAGCAATCCAGCAGTGCATCCAATGTTGTCTTGAGGTCAGGTGAGGACTGAGGATACTGACCATTGGACTTGATGACATAGAGGCCACCCATGGCCTTGGCTAGTGCTGTTCAGGCTGGTGCAATTCAGTGGAAGCCTCATTAGAGGGTCCTCAAGATTAAGACCCAGGGGAGGACAGAGCTAGACTGAACCAGGCTGGGTTTTGGGCACCTGTGAAAACACAGAAGAGTGGAGGGTATGGTAGACTCTAAGCCAAATAGGGAGACAACAGAAGGCTCATAGCACCTGGAAGCTCTGTTGGAGCTGAGAGGGAGCCAGAAGCACCAGTTGATGGTAGGAGTAAGGGAGGGTTGGCATTCAAACCAGGGAGGAATTACACTGTGTTGTTTGGGAGACTCTCTGGGCATGACTGGGAATGAATGCCTGAGGTAGCAGAAGCCAAGGTTACTGGAGGAGGAGGCAGAGTTTAAGGATCCAGGAGCCTTGGGTATTAAACAGATCATCCTCCTAGAATCACCAAGAATGATGATGAGAGTATCTGGAATGACAGTGACCAGAAAACACTTCAAATGCAGGAGAGTCTCAGATGTATGTAGATGTGCAAAGAGAAAAGAGCGGGAATGGTATGGTCTGAAGACAGAAGCTCCAAAACTGGGGTTAAGGGAGAAAATTAGTGGAAAATTTGTCCATAAGTGGCTTTATTATGTAACTCAGCAGCGACTCCAAAGGGCACTTGGAAGAGTAAGGAAGGTTACAGAAGAAATCATTCAAAGCTGCAATGATTAAAATGTCATGAGTTTGGGGGCAAAACTAACAACATTGAAGTAGACTACATGTACCTAGGACCTTGGTGTATTATTGTGAAGGAGGCACCAATTATCAGTTATGGGAAGAAAGAATTGTTCCCCACTTGTGATAGAATAACCATTATATGGTTTGTAGATGAGGAAAGAGTAAAGTAGAGCCTCCCTAAATACAGCATGTACTGAAATAAATTCCATATGTTAAAGAGAGAAACGTTCTAAATAATTAAAGCAGAAGAAAACAGAACTGAATATTCATCAGACCGCTACCAGAGGGAATGTTTTTTAAGGTTAACAGGCAATAAAAGACATCACAAAGGAGAATCACAGATTTTACTATATCAATCTCTTACAGTATAGGAAGATAAACTGTTAGAATTTGCAGCTAATGCCTGTATTATCAGTAGTACATGGAAATTGCTAGGAAAATCACATCTCCCTTCCGGAATTCCCTCCCAGCTGACCACTTCTCGGCTCTAGGACTTAGATACCATGGTGAAATTCTACTGTTTACATGTCTGCCCCTCTTGGCCTCTAAGCTCTTAGAGGAGGTTTTTATTCTTCATTTTTTTAGGCATTGCATTGGTGTTTGTTAGACCCGCTGCACAAAAGGCCTCCCAACAGACAGAAGATGGGAGCAAAATAGCCCAAGAAGACAACTCTAGACAGATAGAAAAAATCTTCACTTTTATTAGTAAAGTTAAAATATAAAAAATGTACTTAATAAGTTAGAAGGGAAAATCGTAATCCTCAAGATAATAAGAGAATTTTGAAATGGACATTTCTGCTTATAAAAGTGTAAAGTCATAGAGGTTTCTGAAAAGCTGTCTACAGGGTTAAGAGAGTCCAGACTTAGGAAAGTCTTCAGGCATTCTGCCCAGAGTCCACTTTGGGCTGCCAGGCACAAGAAATAAACCAGAGTGTGGAGAATGGCGTACACCCATGTGCTCATTAGCATAAAACCTGGGACTCAGTTGATAGTCAATAGTTGAATCAGGTCTGTTTATGGACATGGAATGTAGAACTAAACAAGAGGAGCCCTTAGGATCACATAGGCTGTGGGGGTACTAAATGCAGCACACTAGCGCATATGCAGTGTGAAATACAAATTGCAGTACCTTGTGAAAAAATTCATCAAGCTGTCCCTGAAGACTGTAAAAAATAGAAAAAAAATAGAAGTTTTGAGTATTTTGCTTACACCTTTTTAAAAATCCTATGAGGAGAGGACTAGATAGCTATTAACTTGCTGCTGTGTTTCTGTTTCTTCACCTCACCAGCCATTCTTCTGTACACCTAGCACTGCACCAGGCACAGAGGTTAGAAAAATCACACCTGCACGGCGAGATGGGCCCGGTCATCGTCACCGTCACAGCTGACCTTTATCGATGCCTTGGTGTGTGCCTGGCACCGTGCTACAGCAATTTCCCACATTTAATCCTCATAATAACCCTCTGAGCATAGGGTTGTGTTTTTTTTTTTTTAATCTGCATTTTATAGATAAGAAAACAGTCACAAAAAATTAACATGAGTGATTGTATTTAGGGGTTCTCTAGGGAAGGGATATTCTGGTGGGGTCTTGGAGATGAGATCCAGTTTGTGAGGAGAAGGGCCTGAAGATGGCCTCCCACTTATTGGGCAGCTATTGTACTCTGGCTCTGTGCTAGCCATTATGCCAGGTGTGGTGCCTGTAGAGCTCAAAGGGCTCTCAGAAAGGCCCAGTTGGGATCAGAGAAGCAAGCTTAGCGAGCCTGAGGCCACAGTCCCAGCAGGTGTCAGAGCCAGAGTTCTTATACGTGGCCCCAAGTTGTCAGCCATGTCCTCAGTCACCTCCTTTGTGAGGGGTGAGGGAGGTCACTCAGATGCCTCAAATGTCATGACCAGTTCATAAACCTTAGTGGGGAAGTTTTACAGACTGGTTTTTAAGAAGGAGTTTAGTTATGATGATTGCAAGTCAAGTTTCCTCAAACATGAGAGGCTAGGGGCTGCCGGCCAACCTGGCAGACAGGTGTTGCCGAGTGCCCCCCTCGCTGAGTCTGCACACCAGATAAGAGGCTCACCGCCAGCCCTCTGTCTTCCAGATGTGATGGATGTAGCATGGTCTCCCCATGACGCGTGGCTGGCCTCATGCAGCGTGGATAACACTGTCGTCATCTGGAATGCTGTGAAGTTCCCAGGTCTGGACCTCTGACTGGGTGGCAGCATAAATGGGCTGATCATCTGGAGCAGGGTGGGCTCTGTCTCCTAAGGCTGGCAGTGACAAGTATGTCGCAGTGAATGGGGATTTGTGCGTCTCATCAGCAACTCAGTTCTTTTTCTCTTCAGTGACATTTGTTTAAGGTTTTAAAACAAGTTTATGTTAAAGAAAAATAGTAATTGAGGGCTAGCGTGGATGTGCCACAGATCACGAGGGTGATAGGGTGGTGTTGCATGTGCTTGGCACCTGGCATTCCCCACTACACACATGCTCTTGAGGGCATGCCTCCCCACCCTCCCCACCCCACTGGGCTCTGGCCTCCACTCAGTTGCCATCTCCTCTCTGAAGCTATTAAACAGAGATAGGCTAACAAATCCAGTTTTGCAAAAGATTGGTATTTCTTATTAATGTGTGTAAAGTCAAAACAGACGGCATAACCTAGCATATCACTGTAGTTGATAACTAGTAAGATACTTTGATTCCTCTTTGGGATCTAGAATATGTTTTGTTCGTGGGCTAAAAAACATCCTCCGTGAACTAGGCCCAAGTCATTTTCTCTATAAGCCACCAAGATGTGGGCGGGGTGGGGGAGGGGCATTTTCATTGTGGTCACAGAGGGCCAGATTGAGAGTTGGGGTGGCATTTAGATTACAGGTCTCTAGGACATGCTATCTCATACACCTTTGTCCTTTGTGATGACTTACAAAGAACTTTCACCACAGTGCTCCAACCCCTGAGCTTTTAGGCCTGCTTTTAGCTGCCAGGAAGGTTCAAATCACAAATATCGATGTTACAGCACAGGTTTGCATGGCCCCCAGAGGGAGAAACCACTGGCAGAGCTGCCAACCACAGACAAGTCAAAGGGGCAGAATTTGACTCTGGCCAAACCTGGATCCCTGCTTGCCTGCCCTTTAGGGGGCTTATGCAGGCTCAGTCAGTATTAGCTGTGGCTAAAGGGAAATCACAATGCCTGCTCCTGGGTGTAGTCCTTCTTTCAAGTTGCTTTTGGCCTGATAGGGATCAGATTAGGGGGCTCTTTGCTTGTGCCCAGGGATGGGAGCTGGCCGAGATGGACTCCTGAGATCCCTTCTCTTGGCTAGCCATTCCATAGCCCATGGATTACAGCTCATGTTTCTATATAGACTCATCATTTTCCCTTAGCTAATGCTTTCCCAATCTCCTCTTTTCCTCCACAGAAATTCTAGCTACTTTGAGAGGACATTCTGGCTTGGTAAAGGGGTTGACTTGGGACCCTGTTGGTAAATACATTGCCTCTCAAGCTGATGACCGCAGCCTAAAGGTGTGGAGAACGCTGGACTGGCAGTTGGAGACCAGCATCACCAAGCCTTTTGATGAGGTAAGAACACAGCTCAGGGAGTTTGGTCCAGCAGCCTCCCCGGCCTCCACGCACAGACGAGAAGCTGGCTGGGGTCCATACATTGTGGTTGAACCAACAAGGTTCTCTGGGGTGGGCACTGTGGCCCAAAGAGTCAGATGATGAAAAACTTTCACTTCTCAGACAGTATGAAATGTCCAACTTTGAAGTGAGAAAAAGCTGAAGAGAACTTTAGTGATGCCTCCATAGCATTGTGCCACACAGGTAGAGGAGGCCTTCTCTTTTATTTTTTTCCTGACTGTGCTGTGGCTTTACTCACTGACTTGTACTCTGCAGGCCAGCCCACTTCTCTCTTGGGTAGTGAAGCAGTGCCTCATGCAGAATGTCTGGATGTCAGACTGCAGTGACTTGGGTAGTATTTTACTACCTTTTATTTGAGTTCTTGTTTCATGTGGAATCAGAGTTCAGGGTCTCCCTTATTTGTTAGATATTTCTTAAGTGCCTGCTGTAAGAAGGGTAGTACTGGATAAAGGAAATGAAAGTGGACTGAGATGGAGTCTCTGCCTTGAAGCTTAGAACCTGGTGGGAAAGATAGACTTTCACATCCATTGTGAGTATGGTGATGGAGTTGTCCAGAATGCACAGAAACAGCCGAGGAGTACCGATTACATCAGAGGAAGGGCTATGAGCAAAGTTTTGCAGGAGGTCTAGACATTTGCCCATAAGTCAAGGCTGGCTGCAGAAGGAAGGTGGAAATCATGTATGCAGTTTTCCCCAAACCAACAGCACCACATGAGCACTGGTATTCACCCTGCTTAGTCCTGCCCTCCTTAGGAGTACGTGCCCTCCATGTACAGAGGACATGGGCCCTAATGCCTTCTGGAGCTCCTCCTCAGGGCTCCGGCAACCAGGCAGCAGGATCCCACTAGCAGGGTTCCTGGGGCAGCTATGGAGATAGGAATGTTTGGAATCCCAGTTGGGAGCTGGTGGGACTCCTTAGCCTCGGGTGGGCCTGAGTGGGCTTGAAGCAGCTGTGTCACTGCACTCAAGGCCATGCATCATCCTACCCTTCTCTAGGATTGTGAGGCCAAGATCTTAATTCCTAAGTCATTCAGGCTGCCCTGGACTGACCTTGAGCTTTAGAGGGCTGTTTTTCTGGCCCATATCATCTCACTTTGCAGGAATAATAATGTGGAGGGATGCCTTGCTTCAGGCCTAGTCCAGATCAGGGGAACAATATCTTTCTGCCATGGATTTAATGGTTTATATGGGCTTTATGAAGTTTTTCTCATTTGCTAGTTAGTAGCACCACCAGTCTTCAGCTGAGGCAGGCTGGAGAAAGTATGTAGCGGCTCATGGTCACTGAATGCATCACAGAGACGGGTTCCTGAAGGTCCACAGAGTTCTTTCTCCACTGAAGTGAATGCTCTGCAGATCTCATGTGGTAAGGTTAACATGCTAGGCAGAAGAAAGAGGTCAGTGGCCAGACAGATTTGGCCCAAACAGAACTGACAAAAGAGGTGGCTGTTGATCGTCTAGATGCCACTGTGTTGTGCTCAGCTCCCATAGGGGAGTATAGGGTGCTGCAGCTCCCAGTCTCACCTAACAGCCTTTTTTGTCAGACACCTGGAGGGACTGGAGCGTTAGAGCTGTTAGCATAGCCAAAAGCTGGTGTCCATGCTCTGCCATCATACATTTATAAATCAGAATTTGACTCTATTCTTGAGGACAGAGTTTTGGTCACACAGTTGGTCTTGAGCTCCTTCCAAGGGCACATGTTTCTTTCAGTGTGGAGGGACAACCCATGTGTTGCGGCTCAGCTGGTCACCTGATGGGCACTACCTGGTGTCTGCCCACGCCATGAACAACTCTGGCCCCACTGCCCAGATCATTGAACGAGAGGGCTGGAAGACCAACATGGACTTTGTTGGGCACCGGAAAGCTGTGACTGTTGTGGTGAGTGTACTTAGCCTCCACCTGGGTGCTGTCTTACCCCGAGGCTGGGTCACATGTGGGGCTCAGGTGGTGGGCTCTGAGAGTCAGCACATGCTACATTCTTGTTTCATTTTAATTACTTATGTTTCATAATTTTTAAACACATTTTACAAAGCAGAATACATACTCACATATTTTAACGAGTTTCACCAAAATCAGTCTTTGGGAAATTATAGCTCCACACTAGCCTTTTTCCATATTTGGGTCAGGTCCTGTGTACTCAAGCATGGTGGTTCTGACAAGTGCTCCAGTAGCATATGCCTGCTAAGCACATGTGCCTGCCTATACCCCAGCCGTGGCCAGGCGTGGCTGTGAGGCCATGCTGTGGATCACCTGAGTCTGGAGCTGCCCTGCCCAATCTTGGTATGGAGGGTGAAGGGTATCGGAAGATACGGGCTACTTTTAGTGAGGGTTTTCTCAGCACTGGGCAACCAAAACAAAGTAAATAGGTTGGTGGACTAGGGTTGACAAAAGTGAAGGATAGGGGCGCCTGGGTGGCTCAGTGGTTAAAGCCTCTGCCTTAGGCTCAGGTCATGATCCCAGGGTCCTGGGATCGAGCCCCACATTGGGCTCTCTGCTCAGCAGGGAGCCTGCTTCTCCCCCTCCCGTCTCTCTGCCTGCCTGTCTGCCTACTTGTGATCTCTGTCTGTCAAATAAATAAAAATTAAAAGTATTTTAAAAAAAAAAAAGTGAAGGATCAGGGAAACCTGTGGCTCAGTCCTTAAGTGTCTGCCTTTGCCTCAGGTCATGACCCCAGGGTCCTCCTCAGCAGGAAGCCTGCTTCTCCCTCTCCCACTCCCCCTGCTTGTGTTCCCTCTCTTGCTGTGTCTCACTGTCAAATAAATAAATAAAATCTTTAAAAAAAAAAAAAAAGAAAGAAAGAAAAGAAAAGGTGAAGAATCAGCCAGGACCCTGATCTCAGTTTTTCGTGTTACTTAAAATGGGCTAATCTTTCCAATTGCTTAAATTAATAATAAATATTATAGTGGTGCCTGGGTGGCTCGGTCAGTTAAGGATCTGACTTGTGATTTCAGTTCAAGTCATGATCTCATGGGTCGTGGGATCAAGCCCCTCATTAGGCTCTGAGATCAGTGGGAAGTCTGCTGGAGATTCTCTCCCTCTCCCCTGCGCCTTCCCGCCACACACTGGCTCACTCTCTTTTTTCTCTCTCAATCTTTAAAATAATAATAATAAGTATTATATGTTGTGACTTAGAATATATATGTTTTATACAAATAAAATGTTGCTTCTTTGATTTTTTTTTATTGGAACCCATGTAGGACTTTGTTTGAGCCCAGGTCCTTGTTATGAAAATGATTGAAAATCACTGCTTCAGCATAGCGCAATGCTTCCTCATGACTGTCAGGTGGTCCTCATAGGCACTGTAAGAGTGACTCTGTGAGATCATGGTACTGATGCCTCTCAGGCAAGTCAGGGTGAGACTCAAGACCATCGTACACACCTCCAGGTTCTATGTTGTCTGGTCTTTATGCCTGCCCTCTGGAATTAGAACCCCTATGGGCCAGGCCAGCTGATACCAGGCTCCAGGGAGCCACCCTTCTCCTCAGTTGTCCTGGATTGGGGACTCCAGTTCTGAGTCTAGAGTTCCTATCCCTTTCAATCCAGGAATGTGGCAGGAGCTCTTGGTGTGCTTGCCAAAAGCAGCACCCAGGTTACACTGAGGATATCCCCCGGTACAGACTTTAGCATGACTTAGCTGGCCAAGTAAGATTATTCAGGGCTAATCAGTATCTGCTAGATAGTTTTGACTCTGAGCATCACTTACAGTGAAGGGGAAAGGATTAATGGGGTAGGTATCTGACAGTCCCACCATCCTCTGTCAAGACTTTGTACCTAAAGCCAGGTCCTGGAACTGGCCTTTCTCAGGCCAGGAGGAAATCAGAGAGCCGATTTCAGTAGCTCCCATGCCATCAACCTGGCTACAGGCCCAGAAATGGAGAGTTGGTGGAGCCAGCTTCAAATCCTTGTCCCACCACTTACTTATTGGGTAACTTGGCCCACATTTCCTGGCCTCCCTGAAACTCCATTTCAACCTCAGCAAAATGCCTCCTGGGTAGTGATGAAGATGAAGTAAAGCATGCTGAGTGCCTGGGGCTGGGAGAATGTCATTGTGGGTTTCCCGCAGACAGGCTGGTATTGTGGTATATTTCTGAACCTGGCAGGGGTGTATGCTTGATGCTTAATTAATTATTTTAACATTTGTTATTTGGCTTTAGAAATTCAACCCAAAAATCTTCAAAAAGAAGCAGAAGAACGGGAGTTCTGCAAAGCCCAGCTGCCCGTATTGCTGCTGTGCTGTTGGCAGCAAGGACCGTTCTCTCTCCGTCTGGGTGAGCCCCGACTCCCTACCCGCAACCCCCCAACCCTCCCCCAAGAGCTTTTGTGGCTCCTACAGGGGGAATGAGAAGGGGCTGTTGAAGGAGGCGGAGCCCAGAGGCCTGGAAGAGCCACTTTTAGTGGTGCTCAGTATGTGCTTCCACCCTACACCTGGGGTCAGGCCCCCTGGTTGCCCCAAGAAGAAGGGAGGACTGAAGACTAGGCTTGGGCCCAGGTAGAAAAGGCCACCCTGAGCCCCAGTCTGAGCAACTCTGTGTCCAGACTCTGGGAATACCCTCAGTTGGTATGTTGTGTTTGCTTCCTTTTGGAAAACCTTTCTGTCTATATATAAAACTTACAGCCAAATAAATAAATAAATAAAATTTTAAAAATAACCTACAGCAAATGCATTCACCTAAAGTATACACCTCAGTGCGTTGTCATACATGTATGACATACATATATACAGTCTAACCACGAACCTGTAACCCCTCATCCCCGCCCCCACTTGCCCCCAGTCAAGACCCCACTTCCCAACCCCCTTTGGCCGAGGCAACCACTCCAGTGATGTCTGTCACATCAACAAGTTGTGCAGTTGTGTTGCTTTCACTTGATTTAATGTTGTTGAGATTCGTGTTTGTTGTTGGATTTAGCAATCAATAGTTTGTTCCTAACTGATTTCCCCATAAGCAGAATGGACTTGTAGTTGTGGAGCTGAAGGTTGTTCTCAGGCTGCCTTTATTACAGTTGTGTGTCACACAGAAATGGATTTCTGTGTACACTGTGGTTCTTTTTTCACATGACATTCTTATCGACGTTCTTATTCACATGACATTTCAGAACCTGAACCTTAGTGCTATCATAGGCACTTCCAGGCGTGTTCTTCCTGGACTCCTGCTGGCCTGCTTTGACCAAAACATTCCTGATCCCATTTTCTTAGAATGCTGAGGTCAGGTGTTCACATGGGTTCCAGATTTCTGAGTGGTCTGTAGGCACATTTTTGAGAGAAGAGACAGGGCTATTTTTTTCTGAAAGTGGAATTAGGGGAGGGGCAAGATTCTTCTTGTGGATTCCAGGTAGCTCAGATTTCCTCTCCTCAGGACTAGGGTAGCTGCAGCAGCTCTTCCCCCACAAAAGCAGCACCTGATGGGAGCCGTGCAGAAGGTGTCCCATCCCAGCCCACCACTCTGTGGCCCCTAGACCTGTCAGCAGGGTGGTCAGACATTAGCATGTGAGCTGTAGGGTTGTGGAGATGACACACAGCCCAGCCTTTGAGTGACTAGATACAAATATGCATGTGGTGAATGTTGTGCAGTCATCAAAGAGAGGTTTTTACGGTGTTTGATGACATACTAATTATGTATTAAATGAAAAGCAAGCACAGTCATCTGCCAAAGAATAAAATATTTGCACAAGATAGACTAGGAGAAAATAACTCAAGTGTTATAGTGGTTAACTGTGGGTCTAGATTCAAGGCAACTTAAACTGTTTTGGTGTTGGTGGACTATCCGCACACACTTTTTAGAATGAGCCCATGTGATGTATGTAGCCAGTTACAGTGAGCTTTGCATTAATACATACCAGAACTCCTTGGGCGGAGATGTCCTGGCTTCTCTCCGAGGCTCTTTTCCTCTCCTGGGTGCTAATTTTGCTGCCTCATTTTCTGCCCAGGCCTTGACATCCTATCCCTGCTTGTAGACCTCTGCACAGGTCATGGCCTTTTTAGACCCACCTTCTCCATTCTTAGTTGTCTATGTATAAATCCATCTCCCCTGGCAGACCACAGCGAGCCCTTCAGACGGGGGCCATACTGAAATGTTTATTTTGGCAAGTTTGGCAAGTTTCCACGGTTTCCACGGCTTGGGATCTTGCTGGTTGCTGTTTGAATAGAATCCAGTATGCCCTATATGTCAACAAAAACTCATATCAAGACTTCTAGGACTGTTGATGAGCTGAGTGGACAGAAAGCAGTGTTCATTCATTTCATTAACTTCTCCTTTTTTTCTAGCTCACGTGTCTGAAACGGCCTTTGGTTGTCATCCATGAACTATTTGACAAATCCATCATGGATATTTCCTGGTAAGATGGATTCTTTTTAAAATGCACAGGCTAGGAAAAGAGAAGCCACATGTTGGAACATGAGGCTTCTGGATGTGATTAGGGTCAGGTAGCCAGGGACTCTCCCCACCCCTCAACCCTCCAAGGTGTGGGAGCCGGACCAGACCCCTGGGGTGCTGTTTGCATATGATTCAGAAAAGGGCAACCTGCCCCTGCCATTGGGAGAATGTCTGCTGCTGTGCTCCTTGCTTTTTTTGGCATTTGCCTATAGAAAATACTTCTTAGGCAAACTGGTATTTGGGAAGCGGAGAGTGCTATGATTCTGGTTTCGCTTCACTTTGTCATTGCATGAACCAGATTAGCACAAGTGTGGAGACACATTTTTTGCTTTTCAACGACCTCATCTAGATGTATACTTAATGTTTTTTTTAAAGTGATTTCAAAAACAAATAAAAATGAAATTCTTACAAAAGAAGATGAAGTATACTTTGCACATATGCTTAGAATTAGAACTAAAAGATTAAAAAAAAAAAAAACTAAAAGATACCAGAACCTGCTAGGGCGTGATTGTCTCTCCTGTCCTCACCCTACCAGGGAATGCCACAGAAGGTAATGAAGGGTTTCTGGCATCTGCGTAAAGTCCTGCATGTCATCCTCCTGGTCCACCCTTGGGGGGTGTGGGTAAGCTCCATAGGCACTTGCTCTCCAGGCTGCTAATGGCCATCTCTTTCAGGACTCTGAACGGGCTGGGCATCTTGGTGTGCTCCATGGATGGCTCTGTGGCATTCTTAGATTTCTCCCAGGATGAGCTCGGAGACCCCTTGAGTGAGGAGGAGAAGGTAAGAGAACATTATACCTTCAGCTAGTGGCCTGAGTGCTGCACTTGCTCTCGGGCCATGGAAATAGCTCTGAGAGGCCCCTTCATTTGGACCCTCCTCTTAGGATATACACAGACACATTGTTTCTTAAAATATTATTGGGTATTTATCTTTTATAGTTCATAATGCTTATCTTCTTTACAGTATAGATTAAAGATGAGACTCTTATTCATGTCAGAAATCAGTTCTAGAACTAAGAATAAGTTTGGCATCTTTTCTTGAGCTTATAATTAGCTCTGCACTGAAAAGTTTTCCCCCTGGGTGTCACCCAAGGATGCCTGCTCATGTCACTTTCCCCGTTGTCTTGTAGAGACCTAGTTGCCAAGGTGTTTCAACTATAACAGTAATGTTGGTCATTTCTTAGCACTTACTGCATTCCAGACTCTGGGCCATGTATTTTGCATGTATTATTTTGTATGAATTATACAAAAACCTTCAAGGAAGGGCTCATTTTATCAATGAGGTAACTAAGCCTTAGAAAATAGTTTGGCTCTTTGCAGAGACCATACATGACCCTAAGGTTTGAGAACAGAACCGTGACTCACGCCCATAGGCCTCCTTCCCTCTGTGCTTTGCCCAGGACAGGGAGGCCAATGTGCTCTTCAGGGACTTTGGGACAGGCCCTGCTTAATGGACCGTAGATTTAGAAAACAGACATTTCTATAGATGGGTCTTTGATGACACTTAGTGAAATGTACTCGTTTGTCTGAAAGAAGCCTTATAAAGGCCCAAAGCAGGTGAGTGGCTCTCTCCTTCAAAGTTCAATTACTGGTAGAGGCTCCCTCATAAGCTACTATGTGGACCTTCCACTATGATGTAAACCCCTTGAGGGTAGAGGTCTGCCTTGTTGACAAACCTAAAATGGCCTGGCTCCCCAGAAGTCATTGGTCAGTGAAGGGATGAGTGTCTCAGTGGCCTCAGGTCTTCTTTCTACCCTGTCGTCAGGCATCCTGGGATCACTGTACATTCCCCTCCTCTTTATTCAGTCCTGGCTGGTCAAGGGGAGTCCTACAAAATAATACTGTCTAGCTTACCATTTCTCAGATGGCAGGCAGGGACCCCATGTTTAAGAAACATAGGTAGGGCACCTGGGTGGCTCAGTGGGTTAAGCCTCTGCCTTCAGCTCAGGTCATGATCTCAGGGTCCTAGGATCAAGTCCCGCTTATGTCTCTCTGCTCAGGAGGGAGCCTGCTTCCCCCTCTCTCTCTGCCTACCTCTCTGCCTACTTGTGATCTCTCTCTCTCTCTCTCTCTCTCTGTCAAATAAATAAATAAAATCTTTAAAAAAAAGAAAAAGAAACATAGGTAAACATCTGCCAAACTGAATTCTGCCTCTAGGTTCCAGGGGAGGGATTGAGGGGAGAAGGGACAGGTAGCAAGGGAGGAAGGTTCTTGGCCACATACAGCATACCAGGCCCTGCAGAAATGAGTCCCAGGGCATCACCTTCCCCTGCCCTGTATCCTCTGTTATGAAGCATATGTCCTGTTGGCCTCCACTGGTCATTAACACATCCTTGTATGAATCTGCTTCTCATCACACCGGTTGTCCCTGCCCACATGGGGTCCTATCTGGCTTGTTGTCACATAGGATTGAGACCTGGGAAGGTGGAGGGAGGGGCCCTGCTCGGAAGGGTCAGGACATGTTGGCTGACAGCAAGGGCTGAGAAAGATTTCCCTAGGTCTGTTGTGCCAGGCCTTCCCTTACTCTAAGACACTGTTAGCAGCCCCACGGCAACTTCAGCCACATGGGACTGATGACTGCAGACAAGAACACTGAAGGAGGCTCTGAATTTTAGCATTTGATGCCCAAAAAGTGTCTGGGGTCCTTGGAGTGATTTAAGAACCTCACATTAACAATTTGAGTGTCTTACTTTAAATTCAGCAAATGTTCATTGCCATTCATTCTGCACCAGACCACATGGCAGTTTTTTGATCAGTTACTCATTCATTTTCATCCCTGGCTATAGAACAAGGAGGTTCTATACATCTAGAGAGGGTTTAAGACTTCTCCAGAGTCATCTAGTCAGCTCTAGGCAGAATAGGGTGAGTGGTGAGGGCAGGCTGGCATCCAGGGCCCTGGGACCACTGCCCAGGACCCTTTCCAGTCTCAGAATCAGGAGACCTAACATGCAGCTCACTGACTGGTGGGCACTAGCCACCACTTTGCTGCCCACAACTAGTCTATTGCACTTCTCTCTGCTTCCCCTAGAGCCGCATTCATCAGTCCACGTATGGCAAGAGCTTGGCCATCATGACTGAGGCCCAGCTCTCCACAGCCGTCATTGAGAACCCAGAGATGCTCAAATACCAACGCAGGCAGCAGCAACAGCAGCTGGACCAGAAGAGTGCCTCGGCCAGAGAGACAAGCTCAGCTGCCTCAGTTGCTGGTGTCGTTAACGGGGAAAGTCTGGAAGACATTAGGAAGGTGAGGTCTCAGCCCCATATCACTGATGACGTGGGTCCAGACCCGGGGACAGGGGAAGGGGCGCATGCAGTCCATTGAACAGAGCACAGGTGCAGGTGGTGAGGAGGCAAGTATATGCTGTGCCTAGAACAGGACCTAGGGGTTAGCCAGCTTGGGGCTACTTAGCCCTGTTGCCATCAGCTACATGAGGTAGTAATGGAGCCTAAGGCACTTTGTCAAAAGCTTCTTTGTCCCAAGGAGCTCTAGAGGAGGTCATCTCTTGTGGGAACTTCCAAACCTCACTTTTAGCCTTTCTAGGAAATTCTCAATCATGAGAACGGTAGGTTTCAGGTTCTGTCCTGAGGAGATGTCTATGGTTTCCCCTTCTTTCTCTGGAAGCCCATGTCTCACTGTGGAATGAGGGTGAACATGGGTCAGGAACAGAGCAGGAAATGTCAGGATCCCTTGGGGAGCTTAAACCATCTTCATGAGCTTGTGCAGGGTAACAAACCTCCCTAGGTAGTTGAGACACAATGTGTGACTGGGAACCTTTGATTTTATGAGCCTTCAGTGGAAGAAATGACTCTGATGAGAGAAGGTCTGCAGATCACAGCTTAGAGACAAGAGTGGCTTACAGATGCAGGTTTCCTTCATCCCTTCAGTGAGCCCCATGGCTGCTGGGCTGGAGGGGCCTGCTCACTGCCCAGGAAGCCTGGCCAGGCCTGCAGTGCTGGTGATGGAGAGCAAAGTGCTGCACCAGTTCAACTGGGAGCTTTTCTGTCCTTGCTGATTTACTGTGCAGGAAGTTGAACACATATCTGACAAAAATGCTTGGTTTTTGATTCAGCGGCTTAGTTTAGTTGAACTAGAAAGGCCATAGAAAGAGAAGTTAAAATTCATTTCCTTGGAAGCCTTGTTTTTTGATACGTGGAGATACTGAGCAGAAACTTTTCTATTCATATGTCACTCTCCTTTGCCAGAATCTTTTGAAGAAACAAGTTGAGACTCGGACAGCAGATGGTCGCAGAAGAATCACACCTCTCTGCATAGCACAGCTGGACACCGGGTACTTGTTCACTCACCGAGCTTTCTGTGGCCTTATCTGGGGAGGTCTTCCTCTCTCCTTTCAGCAGTTAACACTTTCATAATCAGGGTCTTCACGGGCTCTTGGGCCAATCTGGAAATGGGGGAGTTGAGCCCAGCTTCCCACCAGCCTCAAAGCCCTATGCTTCCTCCAGAGCCCTTAGGCACATTTGACTCATCAGAAGGTGGGCAGGGAGGAGCCTGTGATAAGTCAGAGGGCGAAGGCACCTTCGAAGGGCAAGTGTGTCCAGATGGGCAGCTCTGCCTCATTGTTGGTGGGGCATTGAAGACACCAGGGAGAGAAGTCGGACTGATTTTTTTCTGTTTCATTTTTCCCTTTTATAGCCTTCTGTATATACTCTGTTGAATAGTAAAAACCCAAAGAAGGACATAAACATTACCCGTAATCTAGTTTCTGAGATATAATCACTGTTAATATTTTGGCATCTGTATCTCTGGTCTTTTTTCCCCACTTGCTCCTGTATCTTGACCTTGCATCCTTTTTAATAAATAGTCCTCTGAAGCATTGGCTTGCTGATTGTCCAGGTTCCGAGGCTGTGAATGCACCATGATTTACTTGACCAGCCCCTTAACTATGGACTTACAGTTTGTGTCCAGTGTTTTGTGATTATAAATGAATCTTTGAGCACACCTGTGACTGTCACCTCAGGATACTTCCCAGAAGTGGAATTGCTGGACAGAGAATAGGGCTCTAAGGCACATTTCCCTGGAGGGGGCAAAGAAGGGGGAAGTGGACCCAGTCACCATTTGCTGTTGTCTCAACATCTGTCATCAGGCTTGCTTTTATATTGGTCATTCTCCCCAAAACAATGTATATTGATTCAAAGGATAATAAGGTCCTGCATGAAAGAAATAGACCCCCACTATTAAGGTGATTCATTCTGGTTTTCTATTCAACCAGTCTGCTCAGGACATCACAAAAATACTAGTCCTGTGCACTTTGCAGTTGTTCATCTGCGAGCTGTTCTAGATCTTCCTTGAAGTCTGAAAAACCTACCAGTCATATGGTATGCTGATATGACTTCCTCACGTTAAGGGTGTGCAGGTTCTAGGGCCCTGGAGGGCAGAGACCTGACCAGATAGAGCCAGTACCAGGTCTCCTGACTCCTCCCAGAGAGTGGTTTTCCTTTGACCAAGCCTTTTTCTATTGTTAACCTACTAGTGGGTAATGCCATATGCTTACTTTTTACTAGGACAAAATCAGACAGGTATGTGACTGTGCTTTGAACACTGAAGGGCTTGTGGGAGTGAGGGTCCTGGAGGTGGTGGTGATGGTGGCACTTTTCTTCTATGGATCCTTTCAGGCCTTACTTGATGAGGAGACAAAGGTGGTAGGTGGCTTTCTATCTGTGCTACAGGGCGTGTATTTCTGACACCAGAACTTGATTCTTTTGGTCTTAAAGGCTTTGTTGCCCTCTTTGATTCCTTGTTACTTGTAGCAACAGAATAGGTAACGATTAGCTTAGCTAATCAAGACAGAAAAGTATTTTAAATGGAAATAATCACAGATAAAGAATGAATCAAAAGTTTGAAAGACTTCTTTACTGAATTGTATGCAAATAAATTTGAGAATAGATGATTTTGAGGAAATAAAATTATAAAAACAAGAAAATCTATACCATTAAATTATTATAGAAGAAATAAAGGACACTGTCACAGAGCTAACCTACCAAAAGCCACCAGGCTAAGAAGGTATCACAGGGAAATTCTAATAAAGTTTTCATTCTAATCATTCTAATGATTAGAGGGACAGATCATTGTAATACTCTTAAAAATACTCCAGTGCATAGAAAAAGGAAAACTTCTAAAACTTTTTTGAAATGAACATAATATTTACATCAAAAACATGACAAAGATAGAACATAATAAATTCCTGATCAGTCTCATTTCTGAATGTCAGTTCAAAAATGCTAAAGAAAATAGTAACAGAAACTTACAGTGTTACATTGCTAATACACTATGACATAGTAAGGTTTATTTCAGGGAAGCAAGGCAGTTCAAATTTTGGGAAACTTAATTTGATTCTATGTGTCAAAAGATCAAAGGAAATATGTGATCATCTCCACGAATGCGTAGGAGACATTTTTACTAATGTTCTGATTTAAAATTTAGTTAAGTATGAATAGATGGATATTTCCTTAATTTGATTAAAAACTACCTTATTTTAAAGTAAATTCAGAAACTAAACAAGTAAGTGTCCTTTCTTGTTGACTATACTTTAACGTTGTTCTGGAGGGCCTAACTCATACTGTCGTCAGGAGAAAGAATAAATTGAAGAGAAGGTGGTAAAATGTGTCATTATTTAAAGACGGTATGATGTACAAAAGAGGCAACTGGGAAAACTGTCATAGATCGTAAAATAGGACAAAAAATGACTGGATGCAACCGATCAAGAAGATCTATACCTTTAGAAGATATAAAGGGAGAAATCACTTTCACAAATGCAGTACCTAGAATGTAACAAGAAATGTAGCTCTTTGTGAAGAAAAAAATTCAATACTGAGAGAACTAAAAGAAAATTCAAAGAAATAACTGAAAATGCATACCATTTATTCTGTAGGATGACTCAACATCATAAGATGATCTCTCTGAACATGAGCCCATACAAATAACTAACAGCAGTTTTCAGAATTAGGCTGATTCTAAATTAATGAAAAAATATGGTGAAGACTAGCTCCACCAGAAATTAAGACTTATGAACTATAATTAAATAGATACTAACACATGACTAGAGCAGTGAAATACAATGGAAAACCCACAAGTAAGCCCAAATATTTACGGGAATTTTAAAGGTAGCATTTTGCATCAGTGATGAAGCATCAGCTAATCTAATAAATGAGAGGACTACCTACCCTCTAGAAACAAAGTTGGATCCCTACCTCACAACTTAAAATTAGATACTTTCTGAACAGCTCGTAGATTTTTTTTTTAATATTTAGCTTTTTTGTTGTTTAAAATTTTAGAAGATTCCCTAAGAGAATATTTTTAGGATCTCAGAGATTTTTTTTTTTTAAGTCATTTTTTAAAATGACATAAAATTTAGATCACACAAAAATAACATTTTGGGGGCAAGGAAAATTGCACCATAAAAAGTCAAAACACAGCATCTTGGGGACACCTGGCTGGCTAAGTCAGAAGACCACGCAGCTCTTAATTCTAGGGATTGTGAGCCAAGCTCCACAATGGTTGTAGAGATTATTTAAAAATAAAATCTTAAAAAAAAATCCTAGGGAAAATACTAATTCTTCATATAAGGAATATTTTAGTTCTATAAATAGGTCTTATAATCAATAATAAAGACCAGTACCAGATAGAACAATATATAAAGGATATAAACAGTTCACCAAAAAAGGAAATCAGATGCTTCTATATGAAAAAATTTTAATCTCACATCAAAATAATTGCAAATTAAAATTATAGTAAGTTACTGTTTTTTACCAGATTGTCAAGTATCAAAAAATTTGGTAAGACTCTTGGTGAGAGTTTGGGGAAATAAGCACTCCCACGCGCAGCTGGAATTTAAACCTCCACGGAAGGCACTTTAGAACTATTAATCAGAACTCATTAGTGAACATTCCATCTGCTGCTGCAATTCCACTTCTAGGAATTTATCCTATGTAATATGTGAAACAACTAGTGCAAGGATGATTATGATAGGGAGCATCTTTGAGCGGCTACTATGTGTTCTAAGTATGTGCTACACTGACCACAGTCCTGACGTCATGGGGAGGGGCCTGTCACTTTCTGTTTTGCAGATAGGAACCTGAAGCACAGAGTGGTTGACGTGCCTAAGATCCCAGAGCTTGTGTATGGCAAAGGAGTGAGACCTGGCTGGATTGGCCCAGGGCCCTTAGCCTTAGCACTGCAGTATCTTGCCTCCTGTTACAGCAGTGTCTGTTACAGGAAAAGCTGGGAGAAAGCCCTGGCATTCCTCAGTAGAGGCTGGTTAGGTAAATTATGGTATATCCATACAGCCCATAACGAAAGGGAGTTTTGCTCTGTATGCTGCATTTCCTGAGTTCTGAGACACTTGTTTGCACATTTTACTATCTCTGAAATCAGGGTACATTTTATAATCAGTGGCATCTAACAATTATATTTGGTAGTAATTTTTTCTTTCTTAGTGGTACCTAAAGTACCAGTTCATCTTAGGTTCAATTACACATAGTGTATGACATAAGTCTAGTTTTCTTTTTACTTTTCTGTAACTTTGCACATTTTCTTCCACAAAAATACTTCATCTATGGACCCCAAAAAAATTACTTCAAACACAGAAAGTACTTGATGTGGTGGTGTCTGATTTCCCAGGCTGATTTTTGTTCTTGACAACAGGGACTTCTCCACGGCATTCTTTAACAGCATCCCACTCTCAGGCTCCCTGGCGGGCACCATGCTCTCCTCTCATAGCAATCCACAGCTACTGCCACTGGATTCCAGTACCCCCAACTCCTTTGGCGCCTCGAAGCCCTCCACAGAGCCTGTGGCTACAACTGGCGCCAGGCCGGCTGGTGATACTGTCAGTAAGGACAGGTGAGTGGGCATGCCAAGGCTTGCTCCTGTCTCTGGGGAAAGTTCAGATTTGGACACAGTTTCGCTGACACTTCATGGCTCCTTCAATAAAAAAAGAAAGAGATGCTTGATTTTTTTTTTTCTTATAAGGGCCTGCTTGGGAGGGAGACCTTGTTCAGGTGAGTCTCTGATGCACAGGACCATAAGGACTTTACCTCCTGGGACAAGATGGAGTCCCAAGATGTGTTCCTGAGGGTGGGACCTGGCCAGGGACAGATCACCTGCCTCAGAGTCAGCCCCACCTATCAGCAGTTCCACATTTGAAGTGGCTTAGGCCTTCATTGCACAGTCAGGAGCATTGCCACACCAGTCATCTCAGAAAGGATATCTGGGGAAGGACAGCTCCAGATCTGTAAGACATTTTAACAGTTGGCCCTACAGGTCTTGGGCAAGGAGGGGGGCTCCCAGATACCAGCCAGGTGTCTGGTGCGGGGTCCAGGCAGGTGGATGTGGTCAATAGGAGGCCCAATGGCTTTGGGACTCAGCTTGTGTGACCTGCTTGGGCATGGGGGAAAACCTGTAGGCTCAAGCCTGGGCCCCTCCTGTGGAGAACACAAGGGCTATGGGGTGTGCACTTGGAGGAGTGTATGAAGAATGCATAATTGCCAAGGTAAGATGAGAGGGGCCACCCAGGCCACAGTCTTTGGCTGAGGTTGAAGGGCAGGTATAGACAGTGGCTTTAGGATGCTGGTGGGGACTTCCCTCAGACCATTTGTTGAAGCAGGAAAAGCTGGTGAGTTTGGATTTGGTTTGGGGTGGGAGGTGCTATATTCAGGTTGTGGAGATAAGGCTGTATGGTGAGAAAAAAAGGTTGTAAGAGCCACTTTCTAGGCCTCATGCTACCCCCAGAAACTGTCAACATGCAGTGGGGAAATGTGAGTACATTTGTTCATGACCTTCTCAGATAGACAGACTTCCAGATTTTAACACATGAAACTATTGAAGAAATAGTCAGTAGTAGTAGATTACATCTTGAAGTTGGGTTCTATGTAACTTTGATATTCATGCCCCTGTTAGTTGGCTCCAAGTAACACAAATCTAGGACTCCCAGATGTTTGATGGATTGTGCTTGACATGTTCCCCCTTTTTACCCCCCGACCCCCAGTGTGAATGCTACCTCTACTCCTGCTGCATCATCACCCTCCATGTTAACAACCCCGTCCAAGATTGAACCCATGAAAGCATTTGACTCCCGATTCACGGAGCGGTCCAAAGCCACGCCAGGTGCTCCTTCCTTGACCAGTGTGACTCCAACAGCCGTGGAAAGGTAGGTGGTGGCTGTGTGGGGCCTCAAGAGACCAGGGAGGGTACAGTTTCAGCCAGTAGTGTGGTGTCTGCTTTTGCACCAACCAGCCTGCCTTCCCATGCAGGAGCAGACTCTGGTCCCTCTGTACCCAGGAGCCTCTGTGTCCAAAGAGAAAGGAGCAGCTTCTTTAAGTGGGAAAATGGTTGCAAGGAGTCATGCGGGCACAGAACAGGCATAAAGGACAATGAAGACAATGACACCAGGGCTGGTCGGTGCAGAGACTATGCTGAGGATAAGGTTGTCATTTGAATAGAGCCCAGAGTTTGCCTAAAGTGGAGCAGGAGATTGGCTCTGATACTGTTGTACCGTGGAAGTAATGGCCTGCTCAGACACTGACCAGGCATTTGGGAGCTTCAGATAAAAGTGATAGAGGTTTTTATGAAATGAGCTTCTGCACCTTTTCAGGCTCTATGCTACTCGCCCATTCTCTGCACCTCCCTTAGCACACAGCAACCAAACCATCTAAGATGTCTATTTCTTAGAATTGCAGGAGTCCTCTTGAGGTGACCAGAGCAGGTGTGTTTGTTGGCACAGTACTTTTCTGATTCCTAGGGAGCATATCTCCACCCCCATGACCATGAACCCACCACGAGACAGAGCTCAGTGAGGTGGGGGCTGAGGGGGTTAGAGGTGGGCTGGGCTAGCTTCCTACAGAGGGGCAAAGGACTTAAGTGATGTCCTCTTGGGGTTGCACTCTACCTTGAGGTGATAGGGACTCAGCAGCCCTTTGCTGCTATCAGCCAAATTCAGGGACATTGGTCACAGACTCACAGTAGCCACACAACAGGTAGGTACTTAATGAAGGGAGCATTTGTAATAAGACCTGACCTTGGCAGTAGGTAATGTCTTAGAGCTAAAGCTGTAGGACACTGTCCCTAGGACTGGACTCATGATCTCAAAATTGCTTGTCTGATCAGGATTTGTTCTCCTTGGAGAACAGCCTCTGGAAACGAGCATGGGAGGACTCTCCCTTCAAGTCATCAGCTGCGTCTATGACTTTGGCGCGGGACCTGTATTCTTTGTTGTGATCATGCCTATTTACATATACAGATGTTCTATGGGATCTCTTTATCTAGCAGTTCCTCTGTCCAGCAGTGTGGATGATCTGAAAACCTTCCTGCTGCTTAGTACTTTGAAACGATGGATGAACTGCAATACATATGCCTAAAACATGTAACCAGTTTGTGAGAAAGTAAGGGAAGGCCCCAGGAGCCGAAATCTAAGGATGATAAGACAGCCAGAGCAGTGGGCAGGACCACACTGTGGGTGTTGGGCTGGGGGTTACTGACATGGTAACCTTGAGTTTTAATGGCCACACAGATTCAAGACAGGGCCTTGGCCCTGAGCCATGTAGGAGGTTGGAACTAAGACACTACCATTAAGTCAAACTGCTTGAGAAAGTACACCACCAGTGAGGGAGAGGATAGAAAAAACCTGAAGGGCAGGATGAGAACATGGCCAAAAAGTTAAAATATCTCAGTCAGTCCTCCGGGTTGGGAAAACAGACTGTATAGCCACAGACCTGCCCTCCTGTGGATTGGGGATGTTTAATGCTACCCAGGTCATCTGGAAACCAAGCAAAGAAAAGAACACAAAAGGAGATTTAGGCCTAATTAACACCCAGAGGCACTTGGCAAAACTGACGCAAACCGCCCTCCCCCCACCCCGTCCCAGTGACGACATTTCCCTGACCCAAAGAAGTCCAGCATTCCCACCGAGAAGCACTGCCAAAAAGGGACACTCAAAATCCAAAGTAACAAAAAACATGCAGAGACCATGCATTACACACAAATGTCAGGAGACATAATGAATGGGTTTAGACCTTTTTATAAATGTGATCATAGAGAATTGCCAGATAAAGACTATAAAATAAATATGCTTAAATAATCAAAGACATGAAAGGTAAAATGTGAGGAAAGTCTAATCTGCCATCTCATGTAAAAAGTTAACTCAAAATCTGTCAAAGAACTAAATGTAAGAGCTAAAACTTTAAAACTATTTTAAGAAAACAGATGTAGATCTATATGACCCTGGATTAAGAAACTGTTTCTTAGATATAATACCTAAATCACAAACAACTAAAGAACTAAACAACTAAAATCAGCTAAAAGACTTAGGATCCAAAATGTATAAAGAACTTACAGTTCAACAATAAAAGGACTAATAACCCAATTTGAAAATGAACAAAGGATTTGAATAGAAATTTCTCCAAAAATATACAAATGACTGATAAACACATAAAAGACTGTTACTGTCAATAGTCATTAGGGAAATGCAAACTGGGAACCACAATGAGATACGACTAGGATGGCTGTACTCAAAAAGTCATAATAAAAAGTGGTGTGGGGCACCTGGGTGGCTCAGTCATTAAGCGTCTGCCTTTACCTCAGGTCATGATCCCAGGGTCCTGAGATGGAGCCCTACATCGGGCTCCCTGCTCGGCAGGAAGCCTGCTTCTTCCTCTCCCACTCCCCCTGCCTGTGTTCACTCTCTGGTTATGTCTCTCCCTGTAAAATAAATAAATAAAATCTTGAAAAAAAAAAAAAGAAGAAGAAGAAGTGATATGAGGGGGTGCCTGGATAGTTCAGTCAGGTAAGCGTCTGCCTTCGGCTCAGGTCATGAGCCACACAGGTGCCCCAAAATGCAGCTTTCTGGATATGGCTATTTCTTGTAATCCTTTAAATCACCCATCAGTAGAGGTCTTCCTTTGGGGTCACAGTGTCATGCATAGTTAGGAGCAGCACTCAGAGCCATACACTCTGAGGTTAAGTCCTAACTCCCCACTCTGGTGGGGTGATCTTTAGCAAGACACACAGTCTGTCTCAGCCCCTCTCCCCGCTAGGCAGAACGGCTCTCTGAGGAACACCTAACTCATAGGTGATATATCTTGAGGGTTGAAGAGGAAGGCAGTGCCTGTAAAACCATATCTTGATCCTGGTCTCCTGCTGTTACTCCTTCATTGTACCTCCTGATGGTTTGGCAATTTGGTCTTTGCAACCTGACTGGTACTTCTTTGCCAAGAGTGTTAGATGAGTCTGGAAGCCTAAGGCTAGCCTTCCAGGTGCAGGGTGGCCATCCTAGTTGAACCTGTGGGTGGGTCCTCCACTCCACCCTGCCTTAGGGCTGTGTGTCAGTGAAAGGCACAGAGTAGGGTTCCAAGTTGGCCTGTGCAGGCAGAACCTAAGATGGAGCCCACTTGTAAGTGTGGCATCTCTGACCAGCTGTGCTCTTCCTCAGCAGATACCTGGATCTAAGAGACAGCTGCTATAGATCCATAGCTTGGTTCTCCTAGGGGTACTGGGTGATCTCTGGTACAGGCCCACACAGGCTGGGAAGTGTAGTTTTCAGTGGGTCCCTAGCCTTAGGAGCCCTGAATGGGATGTCAGGTAGAGGTAAAAGGTGGAGAGACTCCTGAGGGCTCTCAAAGAAGTCTCAGCCGTAGAGAGTGATACAGCCTAAGCTAGGGCAGTGCTAAGCAAAGTGAGGTTCATACACTGGTATTGAGTTTAGAAAGTGATCAAATAATTTAGAAGCTTATATGAGTTTGACATTGCTATGACATTCTTACTGTATTTTATAAAACCATAATTACACAAAAGTCTACAAATTCTAGAAAGGATTTTTGAAAGGATTTTGGGAAGCACTAACTTAGGGTGTCTAGACCATCAAGTTACATCCAAAGGTGGATGTTTTGCTCTGCTCTAGGGCGTCAGAAGAATGGGGAGCAGGCTTTCTGGTTTCATGGAGTAGAACTAGGAATTTCTGGGTTTTCCCAGTTCTGTACCTGGGTACATATTGGAAAGAGTTCAGGATTTGTAGACCCTAGTGTGCCTGTCTACCTTTCTATAACCTAGGGCTACCGGTAGGAAGAACAGCAGAAGACATCCTCAAAAATACAACTTTTTTTTTTTTTTTTAATCATACACAAGAACTAAGTGGGATTTATCCCAGAAATACAAGGTTGGTTCAACATACGAAAATCAGCCGATGTAATATATGATATCAGTAGAATAAAAACAGACACCCCATGATTGAATCTAGCACCCATTCATGACCTAAACAAATAACAAACTAGGAAGAGAATGAAACTCCCTCAACATGATCAAAGGACATCTTTGAAAAAACCACACAACTAAGATCATACTTAATGGTAAAAGACTGGATGTTTTCCCCTTAAGGAAAATGAACAGGAGCAAGACAAAGATGTCAGCTCTTGCCATTTCTGTTCAATACTGTACTAGAGTTTCTAGACTAAATGACTTCAAGATTGCAAGATACAAGATCTGTATACAAAAACCAGTTGTATTTCTATACGCTTGTAAAGAACAATCCAAAAAAGAACTTAAGATAATAGTTCTATTTGTAATGGCACATAAAAGAATAAAATTGTTTAGGAATAAATTTAACAAAAGAAATACAGCATAAAAATTATACTTTGGAAACTACAACACATTGTTGAAAGAAACTAAAGACCTGAATAAATGGAAAGACATTCCTTTGGATATCTTAATATTGTTAAGATGGTAGTAGCTCCCAAATTGATTTACAGATTCAGTGCAGTCCTTTGCAAAATTCTGTCTTCCTTTTAGAAATCGACAAGCTGATCCCAAAGGTCATGTAGAAACACAGGGGCCCCCAAACAGCCAAAATAGTCTTGAAGAAAAAGAGCAAAGTTGGAGAACTCACACTTCCTGAGTTCAAACTTTAGTACAGAGCAATAATAAGACAGTGTGGTACTAACACAAGGATAGACATGTAGATCAAAAGAGTAGAACTGAAATCCCAGAAATAAGCTCAAGTCAGCAATCAGTTGATTTTCAACAAGGGTGCCAAGACCATTCAATGGATAAAGAAAAAGAAGATTCTTAACAACAGATGTTACTGGGACAGCAGGATATCCACATATGCAAAAATGTAAAGTTGGATCCTCACTTCACTTTGCATTCAAAATTAATCAAAGA